AATGTATTATGTATAATTAAAATTTAGTTAATAATTTTTAATTAATATTAATCAGAGTTATAATCGAAAAAAATACCAAAAAATAAGCACAAAAGATATTTAATAATCACACTTTTCAATTGCATCATTTATAATAAATAAAAAACACAGTTAATTTCTTTTGCAGTTGTTTCGTAATTGTTTCCGTTGCATATTGTCTCGTGATTTTTTTGACTTCAGCATCTCGTAGTGGCATGTTATGTATTTCTTTAACTTTTTTATTCAATAATATTGATGCCTTTAAAAAAACATGTAACCAAAATATATCGTTACAAAAATCTCTATTTAAACTTTTAAAACGAGTCATTATTGAATATGATATTTAATTATATTTTATATCGGTTTATAATTCTTATAATAAGTTTTATAATTGATTAATATGTTTAAAACAATTTAAAAATATATAATATAAACTAAAACATTGATTAAAAATAAAATTTACATACTTCCATTATAACAAAACCTCATTTGGCTACGTAGGTTCAAATACGGTGACTTCAGGCTACTCGTAAAGTGAGTGGTCATCTTGAAATTAGTCAACTCACATAACATGTTGGATATCCAGGTTAATCAGAAAAAAAAAATATTTGCAATAAAACACAAATACAACCAAATTAGTAGCTTGGAGGGTTCAATTATGATAAAATGTAACATTTAAAGTAAGTTATCAATTTGTTGTTGTAATAATATTATAGGGCCTAATCAAATGAAAACTAGATAGTTTGTGGTAACTGTGAGGTACAATATGAGCCAATCATTTTAGACAATTAATGTTATTTACTAAAATAAACCAAAGGGTAAATTAATAACTTGTGTTGATTATTCAACTTACTTTAATTAGTTTAATATTCTAACTTACTTTAATTAGTTCAATCAGTTTAATTATTTTAATATATGTATACACACACACACACACGGACACACAAGGACCAAATCCGGTGGCCTTCTCCGACACCCACCACCACTCCGGCGACCTTCTCCGGTCATCTTGTCTGACCAAGACGCCGCATCCGATGATCAACCACTAACCACCCACCTACGACAGTGGTACCACAGTTGATATCACGGTGGTTTCAAAGTTTATTTGGTGTGTTTTAGGTATCACACTGTATGTATTTTGGGTATCACATTGTGTATCTTGGTGTATTTTGGATATCACATGGTTTTCGTTGGAGGCCGGAGGTAGGAGAGAAAGAGGGGGGAGAGATACAAATTTTAAAATATCTAAAATATCTTTTAATTATAATTTTAAGTCAAATTACAAAAAATATTAGTTTTCTAATTTATCCGTTGATTTATGGTTGAGATTGGATCTCACAGTTATCACAAACTAATAAGTTCTTCTTTGAATGGATCCCTAATATTATATATATATATATATATATATGTGTGTGTGTGTGTGTTTAACATTAATAACTTATTTTACTAATCTTTATATACATTATTAAATCCATAATATAGATTATGTTAATTGTATAAGTAAAGTAAATTAAACTAATTTGATTTGTCTATCTATGCTACATTATAAAACATTTGATAAAAACTCTTAAAAACCATTTTTATGCATAAAGTATTGTTTATTGATGCATATTACTTAAAATTCAAGATTACAATTAAATTTTGCGTAAATACAACTTATTAAAGCTCCATGTGTTGAATTCGTGTAACTAACTGAGATAAACACAATCAAGTAGAGAATAAACATCTCATTTTAAAATATAAAAAATCTAAAATATAATCAGGATAGTTATTGAGTTCTAACAAATTAATTAATTATTATATTTATAAAAAATATATTATTAAACCAAATATAAATTAATTCGTTATTGAACCCAAATTAAATTATAATAAAAAATTGAATTAAAATTTACACAAGAAATGAGAAATTTTAAATAGCTAATTTGATACTAATATCGATATATTTTTGTCAAATTTTTATGATATCTTCAAATTTATATTTTATTCAAAAATAAAAACATTATCGTTTTCTCAAAATTATATAAAACCATATTATAACCTCGACTAACATAAATTATAAAACGAAATATTAAAATCAAGATGTATCTTGCTGCATTATGCGAGTACCTTTCTAGTATTCTTATAGTCATATGCTTATCTAGATTTAATCGAATTCCTTAGATTCTGTGAGTTAAATTATTTTTCCTTTATCCTTAACTAATAATCCATATTAGTATTAGTTAATTTGACTAAAATTAAATAATATAATTGAAACAACAACAAAATATATTAAATTAAAAACAACCAATTTTTCAAAATGTAATTCATAGAAATTGGAAAACCCAAGGACTAAGGAGTCATTAAATGAATGTTAAGGGTTATGTGTGAAATCTATGGTCACAATGAAGACAACATCACTTTAATGAATCGTTCTGTGTCCGTTGATCAAGGTTTAAACCTACAAGTCTTTTGTAATTTTGGTGAGAACTTATAGTAGAATATGAAGTAGGAAGTAATGGCAAATAATCAAAAAAGAAAAACCGAGTTTGAAGTATGATTTTGACATAAAACTCATGAATTACGGTTCAATTAGTTGCTTATGATGTCGTGTAAATGTTTGACACGATAATAGAGTCGTATGGTTAAATATGTTGCTGCTGGAAAACACAGTTGAACATTTAATGGATTAAATGCACATGTAGTATAGTAACTAATTATTTAAGGTCTTAATTGTACCACCCGTATTTTTGTGGGTACAACATTTTGGGATTGACGTTTTTAATGAGCTTTTCGAGGTTTTACTGAGTGGAATGTAGTGTGCTATGAAAACAACTAGTGGGGGTGATTTTTGGTAGAGAAGGGGGTGGGAGTGATTTTTGGTAGAGAAGGGGGGGTGTTGTACCAGGAGCCAACAGAAAGTTGGGCCATTTGCCCGCCACTTAAATTTGCGGGCAAGGTTGTGAAACTTTCTATTCTAAAATTTTGTGTTTTTTTGTGCATGTGTGACTAGCCCCACGACTTAGGCCGCAGGAGGGTTACGAGAAGCCTCTGACGGGTTTTAAACCCCATTTTAATTTAGGTAGAAGTATTTTTGGGCGATTTTTGGGATCCAAGATCTTCAAGTAGAAGTATTTTCAAGATGTTTTCTGTGATGGTGGAGCTTATGGAAGATTGAGGCTTAACTCTTCAAGATCTCCATTGTTGGACTCAGAAAATATTGTTTTGGGATTTAACCCAACTTATGAACTTTAATCGAGGCATTTGAGCCCTTTTGGTTGTAACTGTGTAAGTATTTGGTAAAACACCTATTATTGGCTTCGTGAGGATCTTGAAAATATAAACCATTCGGTTTTGGATCTCTAGTTTTTATACTTCACTAAAATGATGATTTATGGAGCTATCCATGTTGTGGGTGTCATGTATGTTCAAATGTTTGGAAATTATGCCTTTTCGGCTTATATGGTTTATATTGAATTCTTTTAATACAGTCAAACGTTTTGTGGGTCATTTTGGCTTGATTTTA